TTGAAAACATGCTAAGGGTAACAAGTTAGTCACAAAGACCACATATTGTATAATTCCATTAACACGCAATTTTCAGAATAAATGAACCTATAAAAATAAGAAGGAATTAGTGGTTGGAAGAAAATTTAGAGTGTAACTGCTGTGGGTTTCTTTTTGGAATGATAAAATGAACTGAAGTTAGACAGTGATGATTATACAACTCTGTGAGCCGCAGTAGTACCCACTGAATTGTATACTTTTAAGGAAATCCATGATTGGTGAATTATATCTCAAAAAGTGGTTCTTAAAACATTAAAAAAATTGGCTAGGTGAACTATATTCAATAAGTTATTAAAATAAATGAATACATGTATGCATGCTTACTTAATGCTTATTATCTATGTCGGCAATGGAATGGAATAAAATAATTATGCAAAAATGCTATTTTAGTCCGTCATTTTTATATTCGACTTTGGAGAGCAACTTCACACACACACACACACACCCCCCATCTAAAAAACTAAACCTGCTATTGTCAAGTCTATTCTAAGCCATAGTGGCCCTGAAGCACATAGTGGCCTCACAGGTTTCCTAAGGATGTAAATCTTTACGGAAGCAAACCATCACATCTTTCTCCCTGAGAGAGGCTAGTACATTCAAACTACTACTGATCTTTCTGTTAGCAGTAGAGTGCTAAGCTACAGTGCCACTTATTAACTATAAGAGAAATGCAAATGAAAAAGAGATACTACCAAATACCCTCAAAGATAGCCCGAGTCAAAAAATCTAAAGCAACACAATCACCATGGAAATCGACTGGTGATATCTAAAACAGATGGAAATTGAGCTACCATATGACCAAGCAATCCCCCTACTGGGCATATACCCAGAAGAGGCAAGAAACAAACCAAGGCCAGACATCTGTGCTCCAATGTTCATTGCGGCACAGTTCACAATTGCAAGGAGGTGGAAACAACCCAAATTTCCATCAACTGACGAGTGGATTAAAAAACTATGGTACATGCATAGAATGGAGTACTATGCATCGCTAAAAAGCAGTGATGAATGTATGAAGCACATTGCCGCATGGGAAGAACTGGAGGAAATCATGGTAAGCGAAGTAAGTCAAGCACAAATGGACAAGTGCAACATGAGTCTACTGAGGTAAACTTAAAAAAAATGCAAAAGGGGCATAGGGAAAAAGCTATTGGAGACAAACATTCCTGGTGCGAGGACCAGGTAGTATGGCAGGGGCCAGAACAAATCCAGAGATACATATGGTAGCCAACTAAAAAGGAGTGGGGAAAAGGAAAAAAAAAGAAATGGGTAGCAGGGGAACAGGGCACAAACTAACACAAGGGGAGGGTATTGTTTATAGCTCCACAGGGAAAGAGGGACCAGACTTCAACCCAGTGCTCCAAGATGTGAATGCAACATGCCTGCGTGGAGTCGGGAACTAGTGGAGAGGTCTGAGGGGTCCCAATCCCAACTGTGTGGACACCTGCCCCTCCCCCAGAAGAGAATTTATTTCAGAGGACAGCACTGAATCTGTAGCTCCATGAGTGGGACATGTCTGATCAGAGCAAACGGGAACAAATGAAGGTGGAAGAAGGGAGAGTGGAGGCTGGCCCACCAAGCCTTGAGGACAATATTCCCACTCAGAGCAGCCAATCCACAGAGAAGACCATATGGCTGGCCCCACTATGAGACAAGACATCCCTGACTGACCCATAGCCCTACAGGGAACAACAATGGAGAAACTGTGGGAATTCCGCCTGATCTGATCCTACCACACTGAGACAAAACACCTAAGGGTGTGCAACAGAACAGCAAGGGGAACAGAGCAACAAAATCCCCAGGGAATACCAAAAACCGACTTTGGGGCCAGGGCTTGGCACCCCATCAGACTCAACCAGAAAACACTCCTAAAGGCCAACAAACAGTCCTTGAACTAACTACAAGCATTTCTCTTTTGTTGTTGCTGCATTGTTTTTTTTTTTTGGGGGGGGGGGCATTGGCTTTTTGTTGTTGTTTTGTTGCTTCGTTTTGCTCTGTCTTATTTTTGTGCATGTTATTATCTCCGCAGGTTTGTAAATAAGATAGGCTGGATGAACAATCTGGAGAAAACAATGGGACTGACAGTTCCAAGAGGACATGGGAGAGGGGGGGGTTGGTGGGAAAGGTAGTGGTGTTAACAAACCCAGGGACAAGGGAACAACACATAATCCAATTCGGTGAGGAGGATGTAGGAGGCCCGGTGAGGTGTGATCCAGGGTAATGTAACCAAGAGGAATTACTGAAACCCAAATGAAGGCTGAGCATGATAGTGGGACAAGAGGAAAGTAAAACGAAATAGAGGAAAGAGC